CCCCTTGTTTTGTTTTCTTAACCCTAAAAAAAACTAAAATTTTTTTTTCTTATCCCACAAACCTGAGCCAGTATCCAGACAGGGTTTTCTATACTGGAAATCAGCTAGTTTCCCCTCTAGCTTTTTTGGTTTCACTTTTGCTAAAAATCTATTTTACCTAAACTCTACCATGAATTTTGTGATAACCTCACAGATAACAAGTCTTACCCCCTTGTAAAAAAAAATTCCAAACAATTTTAAAATTTAAACATGGGGTGACACCAGCTTTGTAAGTAAAAGGGTGACATCCCTTTGTGAGTACGGGGGTGACATACCGTTGTGAAGTAAAATGGTGACCCAGCGTTGTAAGTACAATGGTGACATCCGTTGTGGTACAAGGGACACCCCGTTGTGAAGTAAAATGTACCCAGCGTTGTAAAGTAAAATGGTGACCCCAGGTTGTAAAGTACAATGGTGCATACCTTGTGAAGAAAAAGGGTGACCCGCGTTTTGAAACAATGGTGACACCAGCGTTGTGAAGTCAATGGTGACACATGTTGTGAAGTAAAAGGGTGAAACTACCGTTGTGAAGTCAATGGTGACGTACAGTGTGAAAAACAAGGGTGACGCTACAGTTGTGAAGTAAAATGGTGACACTACCTTTTGGAAGTACAGTCAAGGGGTGATACCATGTCGTAAAGTAACAACTCTCCAAACATCATTGCTTCTCCCAAACGGGATCATTTTCTTTAATCAACCTAATTTTAAAATTAGACGGCAGTACTTGCATTTAATCACGACATGACGTTAACATGACTAAAACGGAGTTAACCCCTACAAAAATCTTCTCGGTTTTCCCTTTTTTTTCTTCTTCACACGGATGTTTCATTTTTTTTAAAATCACAGATTATGGTAAAATGAATCCCTAAACCGAGTCTGATTTACAGCCACCGTCTTTGGGTGTAAGGGGTTAAAGGAAAATCCAACCCAATTGACTACATAGGACGAAAAGTGCTATAAAACCCTTCTCACCACATAGACAATCCCAAAAATTTTGGGGGTTTTAAAACTCTCGCCTTTTTTATGTTTAAAGAAAAACCAATCTCTGTGAAAGGTATGCCATTTTAAATTGAAATCAGGACCGTTTTTTTTGTAGTACATTTTACAGGGCCCAATTTTTTCCCACGATATTTAAAACAAAAAAACGAAAAAAAATTTTTTACCCAAAGTTCCGAAGGTAGAAGTACTGAAAATTTCTATAAATATTTAACATGCAAAAACCCCAAAGATTTACTCAATGCTTTACGCCCAGATATGGGAATTTCCCACTTAGGAAAGGGCCCAGTAGCGGGGCTTTAGGGGGAGTATCCCATCCTTTTTTTGCCCGAGTAGAAGCATGTGGTGGTGAAACCAGCTTGAAGTGATAAGAATAAAGGGTTTGAGAAATATTTTGTTTACCCCCCCGGGCCCCAGTAATTTTGCGGAAATTTTTGTCAACAGTTATCCGGACTCAAGGGCCCGGGGCCCCGTCATTCCCACTAATAATAAATTTTGTTTGTTGACCCCTTTAATCCTTAAAGGGGAAAACCCCCTTGATATGGGTTTAAAAGAGGCCTTTCTTCCAGGGAACGCTTCCCTCCCTAATTGTCTCCAAATTTTCCCCTCAGATTTTTAAAAAAGATTCCTGGGGGGCCCCAGGAGCGTGTATGGGCCCTTGGGGTTTTTTAGCGCTTCTTTTTATTGTAATAATGTGGCCCCGGGAAAATTTTTCCCCTCGCTAAAACAAGTTTGTGTTTTAAAGGGCAAGGGTGCACTGGCTCTCGGGGGATATTTTCGTTTCGAGGAACTGGGCCACCTTTCTTTTCCCTTTGCATAAAACCCTGATTTTCCCCCACTTTTTAAAAATTGACCTTCAGGGTTGGAACCCTTCTAAAACGTCTCCGGTACAAGGTTCCGTTGCCCTACTTTCCCACTTTTTTTACTTTGATGCACCCTGTGGACTGGGGACAATGTTTGTAAATTTAATTTCCGTTTGGAATTTTAACCCTTTTTAATAGGGAGTGTGTGTATAACTTTCCCTGCAATTTTGAAAAAAAAAAACCGGGCCCAAAGACGTACTTTTAAACAGTTACTCCCTAGAGGCAACCAGTGGTGCATGCCCGGGGAAAATTTGCCCTTTGATACAAAAAATTTGGGTGTTATTCCATTGCTTGATTTAAGTTTTTAAATTGTCCCCCTTTCCCCAGGGCTGGGTGACCTTTGCGTGTTTAGTAAGTTTTTTTTAGGAAAAGAGGTTCCTATTCTGTGAAGAGGGACCCCAAGGAGGAGGTCGAAACATAAAGATAAATCAGCCTCCTATTTTTCCTGTCTCCGTGTAAGTTATTGATTTTACTAGAAACACTTTGAAAAATTTGGGGACTATGTGCAACCCTTTGGGGGGTATCTTTTTTGAGGAAACCTTTCCCCACACAGTGGCTTCTTTGCCCAAATTCAAAGGGAAAGGGGAGGAACAATGGGTAGTTTGAGAAAATTTTTTTTCAAGTTGTTTGGGACTGACCAAAATCGATAAAGGGCCCTGAGGGACTGTTTAAACCTAAAACTACAAATGCTCCCCCCAAAGTTCTCTTTGTATGGATGATGAAGCCACTGTGGGCAAAAACGTTTTCAAAAAAGTTTACCCAAGTGTTGCCCCGGGTGTCAAATTTTACCCAACTTTTTGGGTTTCTCGTAACCGTTATTACATGGGAACAATTGTGAAAAAATTCCCTTTAGGATAACGCCAAATAATAAAAGTGCTTTTTAAATTATGGGCACTGTCTTCGGGTTCGACCGTAAAGGTATTGAGAGAAAGGGAGAGAGGAGAGGAGAGGGGAGGGAAGAGAAAAGAGAGAGAAGAGAGAG